AATTGACCTCTAAGCACTGATTTTGCTGTGTCCCAAAGGTTTGGTATGTTGTGTTTTCATTCTTACTTGATTCTGTTGTTATTATCAGGCGCCGTTGAGTCAATTCCGACTCATAGCGACCCTGTGTGTACAACAGAACGAAACACTGCCTGGTCCTGCGCCATCCTCACAATCGTTGTTATGCTTATGCCCATTGTTGGCAGCCACTGTGTCAGTCCATCTCCTTGAGGGTCTTCCTCTTTTTCGCTAACCCTTTACTTTACCAAGCATGATGTCTTCCTGATAACTGATCCCTCCTGATAACATGTCCAAAGTATGTGAGATGTAGTCTCACCATCCTTGCTTCTAAAGAGCATTCTGGTCGTACTTCTTCCAAGACAGATTTGTTCATTCTTTTGGCAGTCCATAATATATTCAGTATACTTCACCAGCACCACAATTCAGAGGCATCAATTCTTCTTCATCATGCAGCTTTCACATGCATATTTGATTCTAGGAGTTTTTAAATTTCATCTTTGATTTCTTCTATTACCCAGTAGTTTTTAAGCAGGGTGTTAGTTTCCATTTATTAGATTTTTTTTTCCTTGATCTTCCTTTTATTGATTTCTGTTTTTATAGTGTTGAGGTCAGAGAAGATGCTTTGTATTATTTTGATGTTTTTGAATTTGTTGAGGCTTGCTTTGTGGCCTACAATGTGGTCTTTTCTGGAGAATGATCCATGAGCATTGGAGAGGAATGTGTACTTTGCCACTGTTGGGTGATGTGCTCTATATATGTCTATGAGGTCAAGTTGGTTGACTGTGGTGTTTAGATCTTGTCTGTCTTTGTTGAGTTTCTTTCTAGTTGTTCTGTGCTTCACCAAGAGTAGTGTGTTCAAGTCTCCTAGTATTATTGTGGAAGTGTGTATTTCTCTTTTCAGTGCTGTTAGAGTTTGTTTTACGTATTTTTGGAGCTCTGTCCTTGGGTGCATATATATTTATTATGGTTATATCCTCTTAGTGGATTGACCTTTTAATCATTATATAATATCCTTCCTTGTCTTTTATAGTGGATTTTGCTTTAAAATCTATTTTATCAGAGATTATATTGCCACTCCTGTGCTTTTTTGGTTATTTGCTTGATATATCTTTTCTCCATCCTTTAAATTTTAGTTTATTTACATTTTTGTGTGTTGCAGACTACATATTGATGAGTCATCATCCCCCGCCCCCACCACTCTCCGTCTCTTTACTGGCGCATTTAGGCCATTTACATTCAGTGTGTTTATCAATAGGTATTTGTCATTTTCTTAGGATTTTTTTTGTGGTGTTGACTGTTTTTTGTTCCACTTAGTTTACCATCCTGAGATGTTTTTTTTTTTTATTGTGGCTTGTCTTTTAATTTCCTTCATTGTTTTTGATTTTGTATGTGCTGAATCTTTATAATTTTCTTCTTTTTTATTTTGATGAACAAGTTTGTTGACTTTGTGGTTACCCTGAAATTTACCTTTATTTTCCTAAGTATAAAGCGGTAATTTATTTCTTGAAATCGCCTTGTGTGCACACTCACCCCCTAAGGTCGAGGGCTGCCACTCCTGAGTATCTCTGGTTCTAGATCTTGCATGCTCCCTGTCTCTGCTTCTTTCTGTGTGTGCTATATAGAGGTTCTCTATGCCTTTTGGGAAAGTTGTGAAGTTGTTTTGCTGTTTTCTTCACCCAAGGTTGCTACTGGCTTTGTCCTAAGTTAGCTGCAGCAGGCTGGGACAGCTGGCTGAGCTCTGCCATTCTGTTACTCCCTTTTTGCTGCTTTCCTTATTCCTTCCAGTTGGTATTCGATTCAGTCCTTAGACTCTCTTTTTTGTTGTTCAGGATTCCTAGATTGTTATCTGCTTCTGTTTCGCTTGTTTTTTAGGGTCTTTGGTGCAGGGAGGTCTTATGGTATGGTGACTAAGCTGCCATCTTGGCTCCACCCTCCTGAACAGAATTAGCTTTTATGTAAACTAAATATAAATATTAAAATCCAGAAGCTTCTGTAATAATGGTGTCAGGGTGTCAGCGTCTGACTTCTTTGTCTAACTTCACAAGGAAGGAGGAGAATTATTATCAGCATCAACAGCCCTAGGCTGATTGCCATGAAGTGGGTGTCAGACATAACTCCACCCTCCAACCTTTTTGCCAATTCTGACACCAGCTGTCCCTCCCACAGCACTGTGTACTTCTCTGCTGGGTTCAATTATTCAATGCAATGGCCACACAGAACTCACAGACCATACTTACAGTTATAGGGTTTATTAGGGAAGTAACAGGTTACAATTGAGGATCGAGAATGATTCAGGATACAGTTCTTTGTTCAGGAGAGCCTCTTCCCAACCTTGCCTGCAGCAGGCCTCTCTAGCCCTTAGCCCCTCTGCCTCTGCCAAGCTTGGGCAAGTGTTACAGTGCTCTTTAGCTCCATGAATAAGTGCCTGGGGGTACCCCACTCTGCCAGTAAGCCTCGGCCCGAAGTTGCTCAGCTCTCTTGCTCCATGGGTCAGCAAGCCTAGCTCCATCGACAAGGGCCAGGAGGCCAGGGAGCCTCTTCCAGGAAGCCTCCTGCCCGAAGGTGGTCAGCTCTCTTGCTCCATAGGTCAGCACACTCACTGTAACTACCTTGCTCCGTGGGCCAGGAAGCCCACCGTACCACCTCACACTGGTCTCCTGGTTCTGCTGCCATTGCTTCTCACCATCTTGCACCATCTCCAGTATTACAGCTCTGTCTCTCCTCAGTCTAGGAAGTTCTCAGCACAGGGACCCTGGCCCCAAAGGACGTGCTCCTCTCCCATCTCTTCTTCTTGATGTTAGTGAAGTCCCCTCTTTCCACCTCTTGGATGGCTCATTTTAAGCCTAATGGGATGGCAAAACTGACCAGTCCCCTCGTTAGGGTTCCATACACCTTATTTGCATGGTCCCACCCCCTACAGGGTGCCATGTACCTTATTTGCATTATTAGCAAGCTGTCCAATCCCCTTGGTGGGCCACAAGTACCTTATTTGTGTAGTCCCACCCAGTCATCTGGTGGGAGTTACAAGACCATGGCTAGAAAGGCCTTATAAAAGTGATCCATCACACCAGTTTCCAAATAAAATTTATGCGTGGAACAGAAAGTTCAAATTTTATGAATACACTGGTACCATGTAATTTACTAACTTCGGTGGGTTTTTATTATGTAAAATTCAACTCAGATTGCTGGTGCGCCAAGATTATGAGTTACTCTGAACCCTATCTACTGTATTTTTATGCAAATAACGCACACCTATGTTTATTTGCAACTGTGCCCTCCCCCTGCAAGGTATGTTCGTAAGTGCCACTGTGCCAATTTTTTTTACATGTTGCTGTAACAAAATTAGCATAGCACACTTATGAACATAACTTGCGGGGGGAGGGTGTGGTTGGCAAACGTAAAAGGCGTGTGCTATTTGCATAAAAATATGGTATTCTTTCACTGCCAGTTTTATTTTATGAGCACAGTGTAAATTCTAGCAAAAGATTTTCCCAGTCATGAATATGAGATTGATTAGTCATACTATCTGCTAAGGGGGTTAGAATTATTCAGCTGACAGGAGGGTATGTGCATATTGGGGCTGGGGGGGGGTCACTTCTAGAACTTAGGTTGGTGACAGATGGAAGCCCCTTTCTTGTCTATTTATAGTATACGTTCACCAGCAGTATCCAGAGCTGCACCAGTGCTGTGGCCTATCCTTGGTCCAGCCCTGGGAACCCAGGTCAGAAAACCCCTTTGGTTGAAGGCCCTGCAGCCTCCTAAAGTGAAAAACGACAGGTATTAGACAGTGTCCTTTTATCTCGAGGTTCTAGTGCTAGTAAATGGAGCACCCCAACAAAAAATATATATATTTATACATTAGACATTTAAGTGCTTATAAGACAAAAAGATCACTGAGTGATACAGATGCTTTGTTACCTAACGGCATTAACAGTAGACACTGAGTTAACATGTCATTGTGCAAAAGAACTTCTCATGGTCATCGGGCAACTCTATAAGGTAATAATCTTTTTATCCCCATTTTACAGAAGAGACAGTGAATGGAGAGGTTATGTGACACATCTCAGGGCACACATGCAGTGAATGGTGGGGCCGGGGTTCTAGCCCAGGCAAGCTGGCTCCAGTGCCCATGTGCTGTTAGCTTCTGGGAATCTTCTGCCTCTTCACTGGTAGCCTGGATACATTTTATTCAAGGGCATTGTTATATAGCTTTTTCCTTGTCTAATACAAGTATGATTATTTAATGACTGCAGAGATCATTAAGTGAGATTATCATTATTGTACAATTACATCTGTGTGCAGGATACAGGAGATAAAGCTAAAAAATTTGTTTTATGCTAAATAGCTGCATGTATATTTGCATTCATTTGCTGTCTTCTCCAGAAGTGGAGAATAGGTTATGGTTGATAGTATAGGTGGTTGAGATTTTTACTGTACTTAATTCCTGGATAAATTTAGAAGCATTCTAATGTTGTGGTTGAAACTCATCTTAAGATAGGTTTATAAAAATCTCCTGATGCAGCTTTGAAAAAGCCAAAACCTTTCTGTCAGCCATGGCAGGACCCTCTTGCAGCCTGCATAGTTGTAGAAATGTTCTTTATTCCAAGGGATACCAGTTCCCTGCAGTAGTTGCTGAGGGCGGGAGATGCTTGGGCATCTCAGGTCCGTACACCTGCTGTTGAACCCAATTTGGTCAGGGATGCAATGAAAAAAATCAGCGTCTGCCTAGCAGGTAAACACGACCTATTATGACAGAGCTTTGATCTACCTTTTATATTAACAAATTAAGAAAACATTGAACATTTAACTTAGATGTTGTTTTTATGTGGGTTTGTGAATGATCCTCTTTAATGTCACCATTTTACTTTCTTCAGTTGTTTAATTTCTGTTCAGTTTCATAACTTTAATTTGGATTTTAAGTAATGGATGAGCTATGCTTTACCATGCAGAATTTGACAGCTTGTTTTTGGTGTTTGTCTCAGGGGACGCTTACTGTACCAGCAGCTGCCCCCCTGTCTACAGTAGCATCTGGGGATCTTGACCTATTCACTGAGCAAACTACAAAAGCAGAAGAATCCACAAAAAAACAGCTCTCCAAAGACTCCATCTTATCACTGTATGGCACAGGGACCATTCAGCAGCAGAATACTCCTGGTAATTATTCCTGAAATCTACTTTCAGTGAATTGTAGTGACATTACTAGAAGTATCAATTATATTTCTTTTCTATATTTTCTATGTAATGGGTGTTTTTGTTGTTGCCATTTACATAGCTAAGAAACTGAAATAAAGGAAACTTTAGAATTAAAAAACACACAGGATTCACAAAACTTTATTCATTTAGAATTAATGAGCTATTCACATATCACTTAATACGGTTTCACAAACTTGGAGGACATGAATTATCTTCGAAGAATTATTTAAATTTGATTTGCATGAAGTTTATAGCTTTGGGTACAGTATATTTTTTCTGCAGGTAAACAATAAGCAGTGTGAATTATCACATGGATTCCAAAAAGCTTTGAAATATATTTTATAATGTTAATGAAATATTAGCACTGTAAGATTTATTGTTAACACAGTTTTAATACCTCTCAGGCCATTTCCTCTAAATGAACTGCATTTCATATATAAGCTGAAATTGTATGACAACCCAACTGCTTCGTTAAAACCAGATACAGTCAGCTTTCACTTGTATATCTGATAGTGGTAAAAGTCAGCAGAAACAACATATAATCTCATGCTACCTAGTTTAGTCTTCAGAATTGATATTTTGTGTGGCTATTATGTGAGATTTATTTTTCCTAAATTTGCTCAGGCCAATTAATTGATTTGTCTGCATTTTGGAAATAGCCAGCTCTGAGGGTTAGGTTGATCTGAACAGTAGGAACATCCAGACAGGAATTAAAATTTTTGTTCTGGGTAGTTCAGAAAGACAGTAATCCTTTTGCTGTGAGTATAGAGGTGAGTACAGCTGTATGTAATAACTTTGTTTTCTTTTCATGATTATGTTGCAGGTGTGTTTATGGGGCCTGCAAATATACCATTTACCTCACAAGCACCAACTGCATTTCAAGGTTTTCCATCAATGGGCGTACCTGTGCCTGCAGCTCCTGGCCTCATGGGAAATGTAATGGGACAGAGTGCAAGCATGATGGTGGGCATGCCCATGCACAATGGGTTTATGGGAAATGCACAAACTGGCGTGATGCCACTTCCTCAAAATGTTGCCGGGCCCCAGGGAGGAATGGTGGGGCAGATGAGTGCATCCCAGAGTAAGTTTGGTCTGCCACAAACTCAGCAGCCCCAGTGGAGCCTCTCACAGGTAGGAATTATTTGCTCTCCAATTTCTCCCAAATCAAAGAAACCAGATTTATTTTCTAAATGGTTTTATTTGTATTTACATCTAATGATCTGGCAGAAAGAATTGAATAGGGGTAATGTATAAGGTCAAAACTTTCTATAGATACAATGAAGTTTTATTAAATAGACAAAGGATCTGTGATTGTCCCTATATTTATTATGTAAAAAAAGAAGAAAACATAACATAAAGTTAACCATTTTTCATTTCAGATTGTAATAGCTAAAATTATCTTGGGTATCTTGAAAGACTCCCTTTCTGCTACCTTTTGAATTAGCACCAAGCTTTAAAGCCTCCTGATAGAGTGTGGTATGTTTGTAGTCTACTTAGACAAACCTATACTCATGTTTTGGTTTTCTGTAACTTTCACAAATTAGAAAAAAATTCAGCTTCATTCTCAAAGCACTATTTTGTGAGGGATCTAGGCTGTTCTCCATGTCATGTGGCTACTACTGCCCATGGATTTGTAAAGATTCTTTTTGTTCCAAACCTTTATATAAAGTTGTATTGCCTTTTTACTTATCCTATGCTTATTTCATGTTTAAAAAGAATATCCACTGGTTTTTAAGAATTCCCATATGAACAAGTCCATATTTGTCTCAAACATACCCTTCATATTATAAAATCTTGTTTCTAAATTAATTTAAACCCAAAAGAGGGCATTTTAGTATTAATCTCTTTTAAATCCATTTCCATTTTAAGTGCTGTGTTCTGATTTATAGAGGAAGACTCTATATTCCTCTTCCCTTTGTACTTCCTATTTGACTTCCTCCAGCATTTTTGTGATCTTTGTTTTGGCTTGAGAACATTCAGGGAATGGTCTATAGTGATTTCTAACTAATGACTGTATATCCCATGAATGCCCCAAGTTATTTCTGCTATCACCATTTAAAGAAGTACATTCCTTTGAAAGTATTCAAAAATTCTAAGTGCCAAATGTCAGTAACAGCTTTGGTGTGGCCAAATGTGCTGAAGCATAACATACCCAAGCTCAAGTTATCTATCCTCCCAACATGCCTCATCAGTGATATAGTTAATGTTAGTATCTTGGAAAAATTGCAAATAAATGAAAATAAATGAACTTTATTAAGACTACAGTCTAACTGTGTAGGTTTTGAACCCGCTCTGTACTTTGTGGTAAATCATCTCACGTTTGCTTATCGTCAATCTTAGAAGTAAGCAAAGAACAGGGAAAAGGTTAAGGTACATACTTGACTCTAGGGAAAAAAAGATATGCAGAATTACATTTTATAGTATACAAAAAATTAACTTTAGATGTTTGTTAGGTAAGCAAAAGGAAAAATAAAATGTATGTTTTTATGACCGTTTTTTAAAATACAAAGTATATAAAGCCTTTTAAGACTTTAATGAAGGTAGAATAATTTTGAAGCATTTTATTTTCTAAAATTTTCTTAATCCTTAGTAGTTAAAGCACAGTATCCTAGTATAGTTGAAAGTTAGAATAATGGACTCATTCTCTGTAACATACTCATGTACCCAGATCATTTGTATTGAAAGATTGCTTTGGTACCTTTTTTCAGTGTGGGTTAATCTTTGGAGACAAGAAATTGAGCCTAGGAAGTGAGACTGAGATCACTTTATGACAGTGCTAAAAAGTAGAAGAAAATGAACACAAAAGTAGCTATTTGCTTCCTGTAGAGAAATAATTGTATGGTAGTCTGATTTTATCCCAGTGCTTGGACTAATTTTCACACTAATGAGAAATACTTGTAGTCATTGCTATTAATGAACTTCAGTATAGGTCAACTTTATTAAACAATGTCTAACTGTGCCTAAAGAAGTAAGAATCAAGAGTGAAGTAAGCCTCAAACTAAGCCTTTTATATATTTCACAGATGAATCAGCAAATGGCTGGCATGAGTATCAACAGTGCAAACCCCACAGTGGGTTTTGGCCAGCCACCCAGCACAACAGCAGGATGGTCTGGAAGCTCATCGGGTCAGACTCTCAGCACACAACTTTGGAAATGAAAAATGCAATACGAGTTGCGTCCAGAACTACCACCTGACATTCCTTGCTAAAATGCATCTAGTTCCCTTGTTTATTCATGTACATGGTTTTTTTTCCCATATGTTCATACTAAGAATTATCTGACCGTGTTGGTCTGTAACTGATTAAATTTGATGTGGTGAAAAGCAGGTTGAGAAACCATTTTATGTCAAGGGCAGCTTTGCTCAATATTTCCCATGATTTCATAAACCACGTTCTTTGAGAATCTGCTCAGTCGACTTGCATAATCAGTTTTACTCTCAATGAAATTATAGCTCTAATGTTTGCATATAAGGGAAGTAGTTATCATGTTAGTAATACCTCTAACAGTAAAAAAACAGTAAAAACCCTACCCCAGATTAGCCAGTAATCCTGTAGGAAGGTACTGTATGATCAAATGTTTAATCATATAAATAGAATGTAAATGTATAACTGAGCACTGATTTCTAGTGTATAAAATTTTGATTTCTAGTGTATAAAATGCTTTTATTTCATCATTCACTGTGCTGTTGTTTTGACAATGTGCTTAACAGGGAACGTGGTTAGTGAAAGGAAGATAAACCTGGATGTTACTATAAATTTAGTTTAATGTTTAAAGAATTCAAATTTTATCTGCCTCTCTCACAATTTGGATCTTTTCTTACGAACATAGTGCTAACATGAAGACCTTTATATGCACTGTGTATGCAAACAGGGTAACTACAACAAAGCCACTTTTAATTCTTGAAGGGTATATCCAGGTTTATGACAGTAATTGTGTTTACATTTTACGGTGCCTAGTATCGACAAAATGTTATTTCCCAATATTAAACAGATGAATCCATAGCCTTTTTTTTTTTTTTTTTGTGGATTTTACTTCCTTTGATACATATACTACCACCAACCTTCCAAAAACTACTTAATGTTGGAAAGTCAGGAACGTTTAGTTGGCAAAATACCTGTCATCTGTTTCCAAAACCTTTGCAGTTCCACAAGGCCGCATTGGGGGGTGGGGGCATGTAGGATGTTCAGAATGGTGTCTTGCAGTGTCATGTAGCCGTATTGTACAAAGATGTTTGGTTGTGGGAACACATGCATAACAAACGAAGACAAAACATAACATCTTATACCATCTAATTAGCTTATGTTAACTGACAAGCTGTTTGTACAGATGTCCATCAGATGACAATAAAGGCTGTGTACTGTAAAATGAAAAATACCTGAATACTCTGCAGCCTAAACTCCAAAATCCTCTTCCACATCCACGGGCCAGGCAAATTGCATCAGTTGCTGCTTCAATTTATACCTCAATTTTCACCGTGTCCAGGTGGTACTTTGGCTCGTTGGCTAGATTAACCTTCTCTGTCCGAGTGTGCCACACGAGAACCTAAAGAGGAGGGAAATATTGTGGGGTAGCCACATTCTTACTGCTGACACTCAACAAGACCAAGCAGCACGAGTGAAATGAATACCTTGGTGCAGTTGTTTGCTTTTGGTTCCAGTTCTTCAACTGTTGTTATCTGTTTTAGAAAGTCAGATTCTTGCATCCCTGGCTGGGACCCATGGCGCTTAAATACAGCTTTTGGATTGGACAAGATGACTTGAAGGCTTACAGCAAATCCTTTGTGAAAAGTTTAAAAAAAAAAAAAAAAAAAAAACTTTAAAATATTGGTGTACTTCTCTTTTTTCTATATGATTTTGGGTCACATCGAAAACAGTTTTTTCAATTGTGCCTACTGTGTGCCAGGTCTTGGTTTACAGAGTTGAATAGGAGCATTACCTGTACTTAAAAAGCTCACAGTCTCAAAGGGTAAATCATTAAAAATAGTACATTTAGTGCAATGATTGAGGTATAAATACAGGAAGCATTTACTATAAAATATGAAGTCTGGTGATAATAAAGGGTAAATTTTATAAGGTTCTGATCCATAGAGGTCACAGAACCTCCACATTTGACCCTCTGGGAATAACTAAGAACTAAATGTGGCTGAGGAATCCCTGGGTGGTACAAATGGCTGCTAACTGAAAAGGTTAGAGGTGCAAGTCCACCCAGAGGAGCCTCAGGAGAAAGGCCTGGCGATCTGCTCCCAAAAAATCAGCCACTGAAAACCCTATGAAGAACAGTTCTATACTAACACACGTGGGGACGCCATGAGTTAGAATCTACTTGACAGCAACTAGTAAAATGTGGCTGAAAAGCATATGGACTTCACCATCCTTATGGTGGGGAACCCACCCAGTTCTCCTGCCTGCCCTTTAATATCATTATTTATGCTTACCAAAATCAGCACTGCTGTAATTTACTTCATATTTAGAATACTGATTAACAGAAGTAAAATCAATTAACCAGAAGATAATAATACCTAATATACGATAATTTGATTCAAATTTCTAATTTGGTTCCAATCTGGGGGGTTTGGAGATCAGTACAGGAGATGGCAGGCAATTTTCTTTTTGTATTTCATTTTTCAAGAACACAAATCAGTGTATTTTCCTTAATGGTTTGGTCATAGAAAAAATCATTACTGTTTAATCTGTCATTTAACAAACTCTGAAAAGGCTCAGCCACTACAGTACTCTACAAGCCATCTCAGCAAGCAATTATTAGAACCTTTGTAATTGTTTTGGAAGTCTGACACTCTGGATCTCTCTGCTCCTAATGACTAAGGTGGCACTGTAAAATCAGGGACCCTTCCAGACTTAAAGCCATGAGGACCAATCCCCAGGAACATTCCTTAGCAACTTTTTGCCCTTCTCTACATTAAGTGAATTGATTTGTCCTCCTTTTTGCAATAGTCAGCAAAGTAACTACCAAATGATATTGGCAGTAATGGGGAAGCTGTGACAGCCAGCGTTTCCATAACCTCTTTAGACACCAGACCAGGCCAACGTCATGTTATAGATACACCCCATCGCCTACATGGGAAACTTTAAGCTGTCTGCAAACACAGCTTGGTACAGCAGGTGCTGAGTGAAGCAGAGCAAAGCAACAATCATAAAGCATTAGCCTTAGGGCTGGGCCTAGTGTCTTCCACCACTCCTGGAGGAAGGCAGCACGTTCTTGCAAAAAGAACACTGAATTTGTAATCACAAGCTTTGGGGTTTTGTTTGGGTCCTTGCACCTGGAATACTGACCAAGTTACTCAACCGTTCTTGACCCTGGAACGTCTCCATTTCCTCATCTGCAAGAAAGGTATGACACCTTCTCAACTCACTGTTTGATGTAAAATTAGCTAATGTATGGAAAGACTCAACTACAGCACTGCTCAAAAGATATAGAAATTTTAAATTTAATCATTATAAGTATCTCACGTGGCAGATGGTATTAGCCATCTTTGCAGATGGAAAAACTCTGCAGTCAGGGAAGGGCTTGCAAAAGCTCAGGTGGCAGAGCCAGTCCACCTGCATCTCACACCACTCTGCTAACAAGCTGGAAGCTTTCCACACAAGGCAGCTAGAATGGCCACAGCACTCAACAAAAAGCAGAAGGTTCAAACTGCACACAAACCAAGTGCCTTTTCTAATAGGTCAGTGCAGATTTTAGTGTTGAAAGATTCCTTGATTTTCTTCACAGGCTTATAAATAAGCTTCATCCTTTCTAACCAAGATGAGAGAGAGCGTGCCCTTCTCAATCACACTGAAGCTCCTGGTACATTTTTCACAAGGCTCCAGGTACTGATTGTATTTCCCCATTCTCTCATTTAAAACAAAATCTAAACTCTGTAAAAGTCATTCTGAAAATGATATGAAGTTAATTTCCATCATTTTCCTCTAAGATTAATACATTCATCATGACCACTGAAGGATTCAGATGGAGTATTTCCTTGCTTTCCTTAGCTCAGGAATATCTTTCTATCTGTTAAAGCAGCATTACATGGCAAAATCTACAATCTAAGCAAAGTTGATCGCCAGTTGTGAAGCTAAAATCACTTTGCTGCAAGGCCCTTTCCTGGTCTTGCTGGAAAATGGGAAGCACCTGGAAGACCAGTATCCTGGAGAGAGATTTTAGTGGGGCGGTGTGCACCACAGTATTTTATTGTCTAACAAACGAGAGAGACAATTCAGATGCTCTTCAATCACCTACCTCAATGTTCTTCGCCCGTGCCCTGCTCAGTGAGCTCTTCAAAGGAAGTAGGGCACAGCCAGCAGGCAGGAACCTCAAGCTAACTAGGCCAAACCTGGCTTGCTTCCTGGGAATCATCTGACCTGTGAAGCTGGGGAGAATTAAAGAGCTCTCCCTTGAAAACCAAGGCAAAGAGTTTTTAGTTTCTAAACCATTGGCTTCTAACCTAAAATAGTTATCTTGGGTTTTCTTCATTTCCAAGTATTTATGTACCCTTCCCTTTTTTAGTAGGAGTCCTGGTGGTGCAATAGTTAAAGCAATTGACTGCTAACCCAAAGGTTGGCGGTTCAAAACCATCAGTGGCTCCACGGGAGAAAGATGTGGTAGTCTGCTTCCATAGAGATTCGTAGTCTTGGAAACTTCGTGGGGTTGCTATAAGTCAGAATCGACTCAATGGCACTGGGTTTTTTGGATTTTCCCTTTTTTAGTGAAATTCAGCTTTAAAGATGTTTGCAGTAGCTTTTGAGACACTAGAAGCCTTAACATCAGGGGAGTAGGATTCTCTGTCCTGGTCAGTTGTATAAAAAATAAAACGCCAGTGAAAACTGGTTGTTCACTATGGAGGCAGGGTTCCGTGACTTTGGTCAAGTGGAGTCGGTGGGATATATTAACTTATGCTGAGGGACAGGGCCTGTCTCAATATATGCTTACTGACTGCTCATTAGAAAGGAAAATTTATAAGACATTTAAAGTTCATAACTAAAAACCAGACAAAATATTTGAAAACAATGGACTTCAGACATTAGAAAAGAGGCACACAAGTCAAGAGATCTTTGAGAAAAGGGAAACCAATGAGGTGAGCCCTACAATTGCCCTGAGCTTACTTCTGGGAGGGAGTGTGCAGGTGACACTGCAAGGAGGGGGAATCCACACACAGCTGTGCAGTCTCCTTGGGTTGAGGAAAACAGAATTCTGGGAGGCCAAGATAGCTAGAATTCACAGGCAAAGTACTGGAGAGGAAGGAACTCTTAATTTATAGAGGGTTCTCCTCAAGTCTTCAACGAAGTATGATCAGTGAATGCTTGTGAAACTAGCGAAGCCAGATAAAGAATCACTGGAAAGGAACAGATGGATCAATTTCGAGAGCTCTCTCAGGGCTGGGAATAGTTCACATTCGCAACAGTCACACTGGAGCTACCTCGTAATAGATGGAGTGCCTGGAAGAGTACTTGAAAGGTTATTGCCTCAGTACGAGGTCAGATTAGCCCCAACTAAAGACTGTACTTGGTTCTTCCTAACCTTAAAGACAAGCCTGGAAAGAATCAAAATCTTTCCAAGTAACTGTGTCCCAAAACAAAGCTCAAAAATACTTAATGGAATACAAAACTCATCTAGTACCTAAAACCCTGTTGGCATCAAGTCGATTCCGGCTCATAGCAACCCTACAGGACAGAGTAAAACTGCTCCATAGGGTTTCCAAGGCTATAAATCTTTATGGAAGCAGACTGCAACATCTTTCTCCCGCAAAGTGGCTAGTGGGTTCAAATAACCAACCTTCCAGTTAGCAGCCAAGTACTTGAACCACGGAGCCACGAGGGCTCTTCACCCAGCAACATAAAATTCAAAATGCCTGAGATACAAAAGTTAGCAGGCATACAAAGAAAACAGGAAAATAAGACCCCATATGAAGTGAAAAATCAACTGGAAACCCAGAAATGACAGCGGACAGAATTAGAGAACAAGTATGTTAAAACATATAATATACTTCATATGCAAAAAGGTAAAGACTGAACATGCTAAGTAGAGACATGGAAGATATAAAAAAGACCTAAAATGACCTCATAAGGAATGAAAAATACAGTGTCTGAGATGAAATACATTGGGCAGGATTAACAGCAGATTTAAAAAAAAAAAAAAAACCCTGTTGCTGTCGAGTTGAGTCCGACTCAGTGACCCTATAGGACAGAGTAGAACTGCCCCTTAGGGTTTCCACGGAGCGGCTGGTATATTCAAACTGCCGACATTTTGGTTAGCAGCCTGATCTCTTAACCACTGCATCACCAGGGCTCCAACAGCAGATTAGACATTACAAAATAAAAGATTAGTAAACTTGGTGACATAACAGAAACTTGAAACACAAAGAGAAAAGAGACCAACAGACAGAGAAAAATAACAGAAAAAAAGGTGAGGGGGAAATAGAAAAAAATTTGAAGAAATATGGCTGAAAAAATTCCAAAGTTGAAATATCAGTAAGAATAATGAGACTTGAGCAACACTATGAACCAACTTGACCTGACATTTACAGAATCCACCACCCAACAGCAGAATACACAATCTTTTTTAAGTGCATATGGAACATTTATTAAGATAGACCATAGTCTGGGTCATAAAACAAGTATCAATACATTCCAAAGGATTCAAATTGTACAAAATATGTTCTCTGACCATAATGGAATTAAATAGAAATCAATAATACAAAGATACCTGGAAAATCTCGGAATATCTAGAAACTAGGCAAAATATGTCTAAATAAAACAGATCAAGTTAGAATTAAAAAAGGGAATGAGAAAGTAGTTTTACTGAAAGAAAATGAAAAGACATCA